ATGCTACAGTAAATAGTTTTCTTTTTAATATTTTCTCTTTATAATAGTTATATATTTGACCTTCTCTTACAAATGATTTCCTTGTGTTGTTTATGTCATCATCATTCACTATATCTGTAAAGCGAAACAAAATAAATCTATTATTATTATTATCATTATTATCATACACCAAAGCAAAGTCCTTGTGTGAACATACCTGGCAAAAAACCTGATTCTGATTCTGCAAATAATACCTGCACAGCTCCAAGTTCTGATGTTGTCTTTGAAGCTTATCGTTCTCACCCTTTATGCTCTCTTTTTCTCTCTCTCTGGTGTCTGTGCAGAGTGGCATAAGAGTCAGGACCAGAAGCACAGAGAGCAGCTGCTGCTCCAGGAGCTGGTGTCCCTGGTCAACCAGAGGGACGAGCTGGTCCAGAACATAGACGCCAAAGAGAGAGGGTGAGACACACGAACAGTAGGGTGATCTGTCTTTATCATTTGTCCCACACATGTAGCCGACGTCCGGCATTTGATTGACAGTTGCCCGTCTTAAACTTGGCTTTAATCCAATGGTTGTTTAGAAGACAAGAGAGCGCATCACCATTAGCTGTGTCAGAGGTTAACTTAACTCATGGGTGTAGTCTGTGGAGGGTGACTCACTGGGAGTTTTCGAGACATTTGCCAGAGTTTTGTTTCAATTGCGCATGGAGGGGAATACGATTTGAAGCAACACTACCTGCGAAACTCACAGAAAGATAGATCAAATAAATATATTGCCAGGATTTTATTTTAAGCGAATACAGGTGCAAAGAAATAGAGTTTTTTGAGACATTTGCTAGAGTTTTGGTGAATACGGTTTGATGCTACATGCAAAACCCACAGTTTACCACACTGTGCAGCACTTTCAGTCACACAGGTCAGGTCATACAAAAACATACAGAAATATTTACGGACAATAGTTTGTTAGGAAAAATCCAATCAAACCAAATATATTTCTTCACTTTTTTGTGCAAACAATTAAACCCTAGTCAAGCATTGTTGTTAATATTTATAAGCTTTTAGTTTCAATAGACATTTTTGTTGGACAGACATTGTATTTCAATCTAAGCTACCTCTTATCCTTGCAGTAACATGTCCCGCATTGTCCCGCTCATACGTACTCTTTGTCCCACATGTGGCATGCTGGCACCTGGTAATAAAGTCTGTCTGTTGGGTGGGGAAATATGGGTGGTACATCAGTTCATGCATACATAGAGCCCTCTCTCCTCTTCCTCAGGGCTGTGGAGGAAGACGAGCGCCTGGAGCGAGGCCTGGAGCAGCGGAGGAGGAAGTACGCCAAACAGCAGAAAGAAAAGTGTGTGATGCAGTGATTCTGTCAGCCTCCAGCAACAAAACTGTCTCACTACCTTAAAGAAAACGGGGAAGAGACAACCAGGAACGGTGCGGTCGTGTTGGTCCCCCTGCTGTCAGGCTGATTGGTGTGGCTTTAAGTCAGAGGATATTTATACACAGGAAGTTACATCTGATCAATAGGAGCTGGATGTGTTTCCAATGGTGACTCGGATGGCCCCAAACCACAGAGAGGCTATGTTTAGGCTCTGTTACCACATTTTATTTTGGTTCGTTTCCCTTTTTTAAATGTGCAATCAAAGTGGGCAGTAGATTTATTTCCTCAAATTCAATGTCCATGTCCATTTACCTAACCCAGGATTCAGCACCCGTTGGGCAGAAGCCCTTCAGAGCCTTCACAGAGCTGCTTGTTCGTCCGGACCGTGTGCTTTGCTGTGTTTATAGTGACTATTGTAACAGATTGTGAAAGTGTGTTTGATAAAAAGTGTGTGTATGAGATGTTTGGGAGAGATAAGAGCTGGCTACGGCAGGAGAGAGTAGGTTGTTATTAAGGTTCGGCAGCATTTCTGACATGTTGGGAATTGTAGCTGCAGACTACCTAGTGCCAGTACATTCATAAAAACAGAGATTCAGCAGTTCCTGGTGACTGTTAATCACGGCAGGGTTAGAAAGCCCTTCAAAAGTACCATATTGAATAACAAATCTCTCACAATGTAACGCTATAACACACTGCTGTTACATCCTGAAACCATTTTGGATCCTGGATCTGGATAAGGTCTGTTTAAAGGGACAGTTTACGTACAAAAACAAACGTAAAACAGTTTTTCACAGCACAGAAGAAAGCATGCGAGCAGCTCAAGGTTGCGTGAGCTATCTTACGTCACAGCTCCCCTGAAAGGACGACTGTCCCTTTAATTCACATTTAAAAACAGCAAGGTTCAGAAAACAGATTGTAGTTAAGGGTAAAAAAGGACTTAAGGTTATAGACAGATTTTGATCATGTTGAGTGAGTACAACAACGCATGTGCAAAAACAAGTATAGGTCACCAAAGTTGCCTTATTAAAGGATGTTTTACATTATAAAAAAAAGAAGTTTAACCACCCCTGTTTTTGGCCAGAATGTTAACGCATGGCAAATTCCATTGAAAATGAATTTCGCTCATGTCCTGTCCGTGTTTGAATATTTTCATTGTTACAGTAAGAATATGGAAAAAAGACATTTAGTGTAGTCTGTTTTTTTATGTTTAAATGTTTGCATCCTATTGTATGATAGGATAAAGTTGCAAATTGAATGCAAGGATAAGGAAAGCAGCCATGGGACAGATCAGAAATTCTAAATAACTTATTGGAATGATTTCAAGTTTTACTATTTATTCAATACAACTGTAAAATGGTAATTGTTGTAACCAAAGCCATCGCTTAGTGTAGCATTTAAATGACATGTGTAGAGAATGTTCATACAGGAGCATGTGTCCTCTCTGTAAACTGATTCATATCATGACAGTAATATTTCTATAGACTTGTACATTTAGGATGTTTCTTTTGCCGACTATTAGGAACATTTTCTCATACGTGTTTGTTTCAACACATCCAATGAGTCCTGCCATTTATTTTTCCTATTCAAGAAATTCGAAATACTTTTACATTATGCAAATGTGTTTTTGTAATTGAAAGCAGAAGATGTGAATGTCTCTCATGTTAGCGCAATATCAACATTAGCTTAAAGTGTTGTTGCACTTTGACTTCAGTACGAGGATGTTCTGTGATGTTTTAGGCCTGAGGTTTTGTTTTACTTTTTAAAGTTTGCAGTTCTCATGTTGCCATAATCTCTGGTGCGAGCAGCTCCGTGCACCTCGTGTGTGAAGTGGTTACAACCTGTTTAAAGGATTGCTGTTTTATTTGTGGTTTTAATGTTACACTTGCACTATATGTAAAGTCTGGAAAATACAAATGATTGAATGCCTTATTTCATCTCATGGATTTTTATTTAATAGAATGTATACTTTGAAGAATGTAGGAATTATTTCAATCAATCGCATTATATTGATATCATGAATTGATAAAGGGTTTGTTCAGCGTGGGGAAGTGCTAATGTTGGTCTTTTAGCTGCACGGAAACATTTATGACTTTAATGAAATGTATTATGTCAACAAATTACACATAATTGTATTAGGTGAGTTGAAAGAAATATTATTAAGTTTAAATAAAAAACATTAGGCTCAATCTAACATTATTGGATTCAACTAACCTAATACAATTATGTGTTACAAGTTGTCATTAAAGTCAACGTTTTAGTTTTTTCCGTGTGTTTTTTAAAGGTTGTAATTCAGAGCATATCTGTAATTGAGGCTAATCAGCTAGCTAGCAGCTAACGGCGCTAACAGCACAAACTATGTGAACAACTGACAGAGCTTAAAGTGTTCTGGGGACTCATCAGGTATTGGCTGACTTTGATTTAGCTTCTTATTAGTCAAAGAAATAACTGTTAACTGAGTGTAAATTAGCTGGACATGTTTCTCCAACTCCATTCTTGTGTTTGAATTGCTAATCTTCCCTCAGAGGCTAAATTGTCATCACACTTATATCACGTAGCTTGGCATTGAAAATGGCATTAGCATTTATTTGGAATCAGGTTTCTGGCCATCCAAGTCAAATGTTCTTTTTAAGTTCTTCTTTCCATCTACTGTTCAAATCAGCTATTTCCCGACCTTTTCTCTGTTCAACTATTACCGCTGAGAACAGCTTCCTCCTGCTGCTGGAAACAAGTTTCATAAGAGTACTTACTAATCAACTACCTGATAAGTGGGCTCAAAACAAAAGAAAGCTTTTAAAAGTGGTCAACCCTCAACAAATGTCTATTTGATTTAATGAGAAATATTTAGAAATGTTTTGTAATGAAAATGCCAGTTTCTCATTCCATTGAATGATGTGATGACACTCTTTAGGTGTTAATGGCTGTGAGTGTGTTTTCAGTTGCAGACAAAGAAATGAGAGATCTTATATCTGTAGGTTGATGTGCCAGCGCTGCAATGTAGACAGAACAAAACATGTCTTACAATGTCTTACAATCAGGTTCAAACTTCAGTAAGTTAACATGGTGTACTCTTTTCAGTCCTCTCAGTTTATTTGAGGGTGAATAATACTCTTTAAAAATATATGACAGAAAGCAAAAATTCTTTAAAGTCAGCATTTCCAAAGAAATAGAAAATAGAAATAGGAAGTGAGAAAGTCTTGCCCAATACTGCCCATGAAGGATTTTGGCTTTGGGAACTAAAACTAAATACAGATGTTTATTAGGGTTTAGGGTTAGGGTTAGGGTTTAGTACTAGTATACAAGTACTAAATACTTGTATACTAGAGCTTAATTCAAATAAATTACAGTTTATTACAATTGTCTTTATACATTGAGAATTAAAACCTGTTTGTGAATTTTTGTACAATTAGAATTTTTTAAATAATCGTCGTTATCCAAAAGTGTCTGTATTTGGAGAAAAAAACGATTCAGATGTAATGTATATATATATAGTGAGGATATCAGTGTGTTCTGAAGTATACTGTCTTATTGTATCCTCAAAAGCAATAATAGAGGAACTCTAGTGTGGGAGGCGACATTCCTCTGAGTCCAATCATTATAAGGAGATGTAAACATTGTTTCAGTGACTCCTTCCGTGCAGACTGACAGGCTGGATGTGAGATCTGGCAGGCGTAGATTATGATACTCATTTCTAACACGCTGTAAACATGGCTGTTAGTAACACTACACTGTTTACACCCCGGTGTGTTTGGCCTACTTTAATCCTATTGTGGATCCTGCTGTGGGAAGCCGGCTGTGACACTCAATACCAAGCAGAGGAGGGTGAGTGTTTCACATTTAATTATTTTATACAAATGTATAATTGTATATTTAATCTCTGTGGGACATTACACTGGTTGTCAGAAAGTGGATCATTTTCTAACTGTTGCCTCTCTGCACACCCTAAACCAAAGAGTTAGTGCACAAGTAAAAATAGAGTTAACTTCCCTTAGACAAATGTATTATTGATGTTAAATTACACACAGTATTGTGTTTTTCAAAGATGATATAGTATATTGAGCGTGTTATATTATTTAGTGTAAAGGCAGTGATAGAAGAAGATCTTATGAGCAATAAAGCACGGAAGGTTATATAACAAGAATGCTTGCAAACGTATTGAAATTACATCATCAGCAAAAGGTTAGTTTAAGCTTTTTAAGCAGCATTTTAATGTTGGAGCTGTAGAGGCAATTTAATACTGTTTATACTGTTGGTTACGATAACAATCTGTAAACCAATCATGTTTTGTATATAATCCCCACTAAGTACAGTATTTAGCAGATGTACTTTCCAACATGTTGCCATTTCTTATCTGCAGTCTGTGGTTCAACCCCATCATGTTTACAGTCTGAGCTGATGGGAAAGTACCAAGGATTTTTACCTGACAAAAACATGATTTTATTTATACAGGTTGTTGTATTTGTATTTACAATCCATCAATTGATCATGTGACTTCAAAAGGGTATATACAGTATATACATTACTATAAATGTAAGATACATAACAACCATCTTTCTTAACTTTACAAAATATTCAATAATTGTATTTGATCATTGTTAGGAAGTGTTTTCATATTTTCTTAATATGTTTAACCAATAAATTGGTTAAAATTAATGATAGGTCTTCTTTCTTGACCTCATTTTTTTACAGCACAGTAAATTAAACTATATTATGTCTTCTAATAGCGACAGACCTAACTCATTCATATGTCAATTTGGACTTAACACTTAATATCTTTCCTTTAACGGAAACATTCTGGTAAGATTTCCATTTTGTTTTGTTTGTGCAAATGTTATGCAACTAAAATTAATTGTATTGCAACTGTAGAAAGAGGAAGCACCCTCATAAGGAAAAGCTGAAAGCATTTAGGAAATTGTTATTGTTGTACTAAATCAAAAGAAGCCCAGTACTAAAGGAAATATGTGACCCCAAGTAATGATCCAGCTCAAATGTTAAGATTTTTTATTCTTTATAGATGTTTTTTTTTCTTATGAAACGCCTGTTGTCGTTTTGAAAATGTCCAGCATAATTAAACATAGTGTTGGCTTTCTCTCTTCCTGTTTAGTGGAGATTTTCCATTCTGATAAACAGAAATCATTGGAATGGAAATCTGAGCCAAACGAAGAGGTAAGACGGGATGCGAAATGACACATTTTTGATCATTCTAATGCTTGTTTCATGCACAGTAAAAGGTTTAATCCATCACTAAATAATGACGATACAAGATTGGACCCAATGTTAAATGCTAACTAAACACGTCACTGTATTTACTCTAGCTGTGTTACCAATCATGGTGTGAAACCTGCCTGTTGCTTGTGTTTTACATAACGAAATATAACTTAAATCATAGGGTATGAATTTGGGAATTTGACCAAGATGTCATTCAACAAGAACTCCCAGTTAATGAATAATCACTGTTCAGACATCATATTAGGTCGAATGATTAGTATGCATACCTTATTATTTATTTGCTTATTCCACTTTGTTGAGTCCCATCAGGATTTTGTGAACCTGTAGTTCTACCCTGCAGCTTTTCAGCAAGTATACATTGTTTACATTTTGTTAGTTTAGGCCTGGCCGGCCTATCAAAGTATACTGAATTCAATTATATTTGTTAATCTGTATATTAATATCATATATTCAATAGAGATACTCTAGGTATACGTAGATACATACATAGGTACTGTTCTGTTTTGTATACTTTTTGATACATATGCAATGTTGGTCTACATTGCTGCTATGACAAAATGTTTTCCCAAACTGGTATCAATATGTTATCTTATCTTCCCTAACATCCCAGTGGACTTCAATTAACCTTAGATTGGATTCTTCCAATCCAGTCCCTGTGCTTCAAGCTTGTGCAAGGCGCATGACAAGAACTGTTTTAAGCCCGTGGATGAAGCGGAAAGATGCCCACTACATACTGATGGATGTTTCCTTAGCCCAAGAACAACAGCCGTCTGAACAGCTGAGCCCACTACAAGTTCACTTTTTTGACAAAAACACACCAATGACAATGTTTCAAAATAGTTTGACCGTCCTGAATCTTAACACCTCCAGGCCTTTCCCTGTCGAAGCAGTCCTGACGTCCGGGCACTTTGAGCGCAGACTGGCTCTGGGCCTGGGCCCCGTCAGACAGACAGGCTTCCAGCTGGCCTTCTCCTACTCTGGAACATGTGTGCTGCTGACATCCATCAGACTGTACTACAGGAGGTGCCCTGACATCGTTAGTAACCTGGCCTTGTTTGAAGGGACGGGGGCCGCGTCGGGTGCCCTGAGGGGCTCCTGTGTGAACGGAGCTGTGGAGGTTTCTCCTCCTGTTAGAGAGTGTGAGGCGGATGGAGAATGGGGTCCAGAGCATGGAGGATGTACCTGTAATCCCGGCCATCAAGTCATGGATGACACATGTCAAAGTATGGAGATTAACTTTTTCAATTACATTACTTTAAAATATGCTGCTTTACTGATGACTAGAGAATACAATTAGATAGAAGACAGACAAGTCAGAGGAGGAGTTATGTTTCCTGACTGTACGCTTCCTAAAAGCTCCACAGATCTGCTTGATGGATTTATTTACTTAGAATTATATATATATATATATATATATATATATATATAACTATATATAACAAGACATGTCAAAGATAAATGTGATTTTTTTACTTTTACACAAAATGTTCTGTTCACTATATAAAAATAAATCTAAAAAGGAAAATTAAAAGATCCTTGTCAGAAATAATCTTTGTTCGCAATGTTTACATAAAAAATGAACTGATATATAAAACCAGGGTCATTCAAGAACCCAACCACTCTGGAATGAAGTTCCTGGGCATGCATCAGTTATTTTTTTAGATGCCCAACATGCATACATACAACAACACACACACACACACATATATATATATATATATATATGTATACATTATAACATAACCTGACTGATTATGGTGCTAAAGGAAGCGTCTTTAGGTAGCCCTAATACACAAGGATTCAACATCTGGGGACGGTGAACATGCACAGCAAAATGTCATTGTATTCTGAAAATAACATTATTACCACAGTAGAAGATAACTTTTTTTTTTTAAATAAAAGTTGTAGGAAAGGGACTCACTCTATCTTTTCCCACCAGCTTGTGATATGGGCTACTACAAACCAGCCAATGAGAGTGGAGTATGCCGGCCATGCCCACAGAATAGCAAAACATATGGGAAGGGATCTGAGAGGTGTGTTTGTCTGCAGGGTTACACCCGCCTACCAACGGACCCTGAAGACCTCGGCTGCACTAGTAAGACATGCACTGTAAAAACTGTTGCTTTGGTAAAACTTAAAAAATATGTGTCAAGCGATTCCAAGCAATTTTAAGAGTTTAGTCAACTTTTGCAATTTTTGAGTTGGTGAAATGTACTTTTTTTTGTTTTCCTCTACTCAAGAATGTGTTACTTTGCTAAAACTTAAAAAATATGTGTCAAGCGATTCCAAGCAATTATAGGAGTTGGGTAAACTCACTAATGTGATTTTTTCTGCATATGAAAAGATGAGATGAGCTTACAATTAAAAGCCCAGATATTAAGTGTAACCAATGCAAATAACAATCTGCTAAGAACCACACGAGAATAAAGTAAATTATAAAACACAATTGAGTTGCCGGAACCTATATACGACAAACTCTTCCTGATTTCAATCCAACCCTTTAAATATTTGATAGCATTGAAACATTGCAGATTAAACAAATAAATTAAAAAAGGGAACGTTATGGACATGTTAATACATTTTATTAAAATGTGATTATTTCAAAACAGTGGTCATAAAAGAGTAACAAGTTTGTTTAAAAGCACAACACATTAACATACATGGAGACACATGGTTATTACTTGATGGTTATAACTGCATCTGGCTCTTGGGCAACGTATCACTTCATGCTGTGCATCACGAGCCTGGTGCACTTCGACCTCTGCTGTTCCCTGTAAATACAAATAAAACACTAAATTGAGTACAAATCAGGACACACCATGTGTTTTCCTCAAAACAAAAATCAAATCCGTCTTGAAAACATAACGAGCCAGTTTACATTAGCTGTTAACAGACGGTAACAGAGGTGCTATTCACATGCATTACAAGGGGTTTAAGCCACCAAAAAGGCTGGTTTGCAAGAAAATGAACCAAATAGTCATGATATTGATATAGTTCATAAAATGTCCAACTACTTCTTTTTAACCCCACCTCATGCTCAGAGATGTATATAAAGTGGCACATGGGTCCTAGAATAAAAAGAACAGACGATTATTTCAACTTTTATCTTGATAAGTGAGAGCGCAGGCCAGTCTACATGAATGCAGGGCAAGGCACGTTTCTGTCCAAAGGTTCCATGATGGAGTCGATAATGTTTTAAAATATCACTTTGAGTGGTGACACTAGTGCTGCATAGTTTACATCTCCATCCCATCTGTGATTCAAAAAATAGAAATGGGTACGTTTACCTGATGCTCATTATATTAGTATGTAAACATAACACGTCTTGAATTAACCTCTGAAACAACAACTCTGACACACTCAAGGGCTTACCTAATGTGAACCTGAAGTCCATAGCAGGAGGCAAAATGTCTTCAAGAGGAGGTGTGTTTTCTGGTGAGGCAAATGAAAGAACAAAATAGTTACATGATGACAATGTAACAATCATTTCAGTAGAATTCATTAAAACATATTTAATTCAATTAATGGAATCAAACATTAAAACACAATTATCATTTAAAACGGTATTGTATTTATATACATTTATAAGGATGGCATTGTTAGATACCAGTACAATTCCATGATTCTCTACACAGCAGATCCTAATTACTTCAATATACACTCCTTTATCTCGTTTGCATACTGTCTAATATCTACTTTATGTTGTAGTAAAACATCTCCTTAATAAAACTGTATTTATTGATATTTCTCGCTAAAGACTGCATTTTACTGGACTACATTGAACACATCTTGCTGACGTTATACATGCCTCCTCGCCCAATACACACTTTTACTGAATTGCGCCTGAATGCACCTTAACTGAAATCACCTCCGTCACTTTCTACTGAGAGCTAACGTTAACTCTCCTGCAGATTCCAACATGGATAGCGTTGCAAAAGCATGAAAAATATAGTTTGCACTTAATTTTGTATAATAAGAACTCGATGCTGTAACTGCAGACTATGAGTTTAAATTGGGTACACTAAGATTGTTGAAAGATAATTCATTGCTCACAGTAAAACAAACGGCGAAATACATATAGAGGAATTAATATCAAATAGGCGCATTAGTAACTTACTCTTACATAACCGCTGGGTTATAAAGTAGTAGGGAATAGTTTTAACGGAGGTATTTTACCGCACAACATGCACGGCAGGAGAGCCTCTGAGCCCCGCGGCCGCATCACGGTGCCCGGGCCAACGCTTAGAGCGGCATAGGGGAACAGTTTGCGGAGTTGATTCTTAATACATACTCTTAACTTAACCACTTTTAACAGAATTGCGTCGGTAAGCACTTGATGCAAACTTTGCCCAACAACTTTGCGTGAAGAAATAGACTACATGAGCACGACAGGGCTGAGTCTAACTTTAACAGCAGTAATGGCGCTGGCATGCATTAAAATGTCGATGTTTCGTTCAAAACAGTGAATACAAGAAAAGTAAATAACACTTTCTAGTTAAAAAGCAGTAATTAATAACTCAGGTGGCATGCTTACTTGTTTTACGATGGTTTGAGGAGGATCCAACGCAAACACGTGTCCAACTGCTGAAGAACCGCTGCAAAGAGGAACAGGAAGTCTCACACTTTTTTGATTATTATTCAAAATTATTATTCTCGTTTGACGGCGTGGCATGACCGTGGCGTTGAAAAAAGCATTTTTATTACGTTTTCCAAAACGTCTTTTTAAAGAAAGTTCAGAAAATGTGATATTAATTTACAAATTAATGAGTTCTTAAAACATGTTCTCATTGTTGCTTACGTGTTACTTATTTAAACGCACATTGAAAAAAAACTAATTTAGGGCAAGTAAATTACATAAAAAAATTGAGTTTTGTTGACTTCACCATCGGAACAGTTTTTACAGTGCACACTCAGTGTCTATTATGCAAATAAACTGGTGTCAATCAATATACTATTAAACTTATGAATGGGATTTGTCATTAAAGCCCCTTTGTCAATTTAGAATTGTCAAATTTGTTGGACCCTAATTGTAGCATTACAAAATACACTGAAAGAAATTAAACATTGACTTTTATTAAATGTATTATATCAACAGATTACAAATAATTGTATTAGGTTGGTTCAAAGCAATAATATTAAGTTGAAATAAGGTTCAACTTAATATTATTGCTTTCAACTAACCTAATTCAATAGTGTGAAATCTGCTGTCATAATACATTTAATAAAAGTCAACATTTCAGCTGTTTCAGTGCAACATGGCACATTTCCCCTCAATTGTCATTGATGCAGTTTATTTTATTATTACTTGTAAAACGAATGGACACAGGTTGTCTCCCTTGTTCTGCCTGTACACCTTCATCTAATGTGATGCTAAGGACACTTATTTCATACGATTTTGCAAACTCTCCTCATGTTTTACTTCCCTTTGTCCCCCACAGAGCCGCCCTCTGCTCCGGTGAATCTCACAGCCCGTCACCATAATGACTCCGTGCTGATGGTGACGTGGGATCCTCCTCATGACCGTGGAGGCAGACAGGAAGTGATGTATGGCATCAAGTGTGAGAAGGAAGTGGAGTCCAGCCGTCAGTGGCAGGCGTGTGGCGATACTGTGGTTTTCCTGCCTGACTCAGCAGGGCTGACCAACACATCAGTCACTGTCACCGAGCTGAGCCCCCAGCACGGATACAGGCTCTCAGTGCAGGCCTGGAACGATGCATCCACCCTGGGGAGGGCTCCACCTTCATCCACTGCCACCGTCACAATCCACAGATGTATGTAAACCCAACTAAGATTTCGACACATTAGAAAGTCCAAGAAAGGCGAGGGAAATAATGAGACAGACATGTGTTAGGAAATAACAGTGTTAGGGTTCAGTTCTGGTTTCAGTTCCTAACTTTTACATTTTTTCCTATGTGGGTCATTCCAGAATTGGCTGACGTTTAGATGTAAAAAATGAAAAATTAACCCTTTATTTTCTAGTTTTCAGTCTGCGCCAGAAGGTGTGTAAGCTTTCTGCTGTCCTGATGTCAATGGGGAGCTCATTCCACCATTTTGGAGCCAGGATAGCAAACCGACGTGTTTTTGCTGACGGGAACTTGGGTCCCCCTCGCAGTGCGGGTGCAGCGAGCCGTTTGGCTGATGCAGAGCGGAGTGCACGTGCTGGGGTGTATGGTTTAAACATGTCCTGGATGTAGGAAGGGCCAGTGTCTTGAAGTGGATTCTAGCAGTTACTGGAAGCCAGTGAAGGGAGCGGAGGAGCGGCGTGGTGTGGGAGAATTAGGAAGGTTGAAGACCAGACGAGCTGCTGCATTCTGGATGAGCTGCAGAGGTCGGATGGCACATGCAGGTGGACCAGCCAGGAGGGGGTTGCAGTAGTCTAGGCGTGACATGACGAGAGCTGTTGGAGCAGAACACCTCTGCTACGCGCCGTTCGTTGGATGAGGCTGGATCTTTATTAAATTAAGAAAGGAATTGAAAACACCGGAATCAAAGTTATAACAAATTATCTGAGTTTACCTCTGGTAGGAAACCAAACACATATACAAGTTATACAGAGTACTCGAGTACTCTGGACTTCAGGCTTGTGATGCGGTTTTACAGGTAGACAGACCAGCTTTCAGAAAACGAGAAGTATGGACTCCAGGTTTGTGATGCGGTTTACCGTCTTCTAGCACCAGCTTTCAACAAAACCAGAAGCATTTTTACATACAAAACATCAGTATTCATATCTATTTTTGGGGCGGAGATGTGTCGACTCTTCCTTCCCATTTTCCTCCCAAGCGAATCAGAGTTCCGTGAGGAGGAGCTGTGTAAGCTGATCACCTCCCCCAAGTGTCCTGACTGGCTGGATTCACTTCTGGTCGAGTTCAATAGTTCTTCACCAGAACTTGAAATTCCAAAGTTCCCTAAGGTCAAAAGTCAACCTCTATCTCCGATTCGAATCTTAACTCCATTCCTTTCCCATGAGTTCTTCACATAAACCATCCCTTTTCAGACATTTAAACTTTTCTGCACCTATTTAACGATGTCTTTAACGACTTAAAAAACAACATCTGGCTTTTAGGGGTGAAAAGGCCAAGTTGGTGTGTGAAACAGAATCTCTGGATCAGTGAGTTTGAAAGTAAGAATATCATTTCTATATATATGATTACCCAAAACCGTTGTGATTACTTAAAACAGTTCAAACCATACATGTTCACTAAAATACAATTCAAAATAATACATGTTTACTTCAATACAGTGTAGAATCATATCTTTTTACTTCAGAGCCTGGACCAGAAGCTGCGTCGCTTTCTGGGTCAGGAGGGGACGTATCCTCCTGACGCAGGGGTACTCAAACTTTTTTTATTAAAGGTCCACTTGTGAATTTTATACAAGGTCACTGGTCCGGATCAATGGACCCCCCCCCCCCCCCGGAGCGGAGCGGAGCAACGAAAATGAAATTAAGAAGCAGTTTCTTACGGCGCGCTATGCATGGGGCCCCCTTGAGGGGGTTTCCCGACATGTCGTTGCAGTAAATTAAAGGGTGTTTCATGTTGTCGTTGCTGTGGACCTTCTTAATCTACCTTCTTTGGGGGCCCCCTTCTGGTCCAAGCACTTGCCTGCCTTGCCTGTCGGCAAACGGCGCCCCTGTATACACACACATTCAATACATACATACAGTATGGTGGTTTGAACTAGTGGGAGAAATGGCACTGTTTATCTGTAGCCAATGCCTTGAACCTCGGCAAAAAAGACATTAGAAGCATTAGAAAGTCAAGGTAAACTTGCGGTTAACTTGCAGTCTGCAATGCGTGTCACGCACACAAGTAAATATATATGCACGTTCATTCTCACAACGCGTCAGACACAAGAAAATATACATTAATTTACATCAGAATCCGAATTTTTTTTATTTTTTTTATCTTGTATAATTTTTATAATGGAACACAGGGTTCGGTCCGGATTGATTTGCAGTTCGGTCCGGATCCGGACCTTAGTCCGGAGTTTGAGAAGCCCTGTTGTAAAGCGTGTATCTGCAGCAGCGGGTTGTAGCAGCGATGTTTGCAGTGAAGGACAGGTTGTTATCTAGGGTCACACCCAGATTCCTTGCAGTCTGAGTCGGGGAAACAACAGAGGGGCCGATGTTGATTGTTAGGTCAAGAGTGGGACAATTTTTTCCCGGAAGGAAAAGCAGTTCAGTCTTGTCAAGGTTGAGCTTGAGGTGGTGAGCAGACATCCACTGAGAGATGTCTGCTAGACAAGCAGAGATGCGTGCGACGACCTGGGTCTCTGAGCGGGGAAAGGACAGAATTAATTGGGTGTCGTCAGCGTAGCAGTGGTATGAAAAACCATGCGGGCTAATGACAGATCCGAGCGAGTTTGTGTACAGAGAGAAGAGGAGGGGACCAAGGACAGAGCCCTGAGGGACCCCTGTAGATAATTGACAAGGGTCGGACTCGGACCCTCTCCAAGTTACCCTGTAGGTGCGGTCTTTGAGGTAGGGAACAGAGCCTGAAACTCCAAGTTCTTGGAGAGTGCGAAGGAGGATCTGATGGTTCACCGTGTCGAATGCAGCAAGGAGGGTGGAGAAGATAGAGAATAGTTTTTTGGGATTGGAATAGGAAGAATGGATCTTATCTTGAAAGAAAGTGCTTTTTGCCTGAGAGATCGAAGCAGAGAAAGAGGAGAGCCTGATAGGTTAGGAGGTCGTCATGGTGTTTGGATTTCCACCGTTTCCGCTCTGCTGCCCGAAGGATGGTTCTATTGGCATGCAGTGCGTCATTTAGCCAGGGAGCAGGAGGGGACTGACGAGCCTGCCGAGATGTGAGAGGACAGAGAGAGTCCAGAGAGGATGAAAGAGTAGAGAGGAGAGTTTCTGCAGCAGAGTTTGGAGGCAGGAGTTGGAACGAGTCAGACGAAGGGAGGGCTGAGAGCACCGATGAGGTAAGAGTAGAGGGGGAGAGGGAACGAAGGTTACGACGGACAGGTACAGCATGAGAAGAGATTAGTTTGTTATGTTTGGAAAGGGGTAGAGAGAATGAAATGAAGAAGTGATCCGAGGTGTGGAGCGGGTTTACAGAGAGGTTAGAAGTAGTGCAGTTCCTTGAGAATATGAGATTGAGGACATTGCCAGCTTTATGAGTTGGTGGGGACGGAGACAGTGAGAAAGCAAAGGCGGTTAAAAGAGATGTTAGTTCAGATATCTTCTCTGTCTGGAGGTTGAAGTCTCCGAGAAGTACAGCGGGAGGGCCAGTTTCAGGGATGTGTGAGAGGAGATGATCTAATTCCTCCAAGAAGTCCCCCAAGGTGCCTGGTGGACGGTAGAGAACAACAATGGTTAATTGTATAGGATGGGTTACTGTGACGGCATGGAATTCAAAGGAGGAAGGAGAGAAGTTGGATAGTTGGTAGAGGGAAAAGCTCCATTTGGGAGAGAGCAGGAGACCAGTGCCACCTCCTCTGCCTGTGGGTCTGGGTATATGGGTGAAGGAATATGCTGTGGAGAGAGCTGCTGGGGTGGATGTGTTGGATGGAGTAATCCAGGTCTCAGTGAGAGCAAGGAAATCCAGAGACTGCAGGGAAGCGTAGCCAGAGATGAAGTCAGCCTTAGGAACAGCTGACTGGCAGTTCCACAGGCCACCTGTAACTAGATGTTGGATCTCAGTGGAGCATGTGGGATAGACGAGAGCAGGCTGGTTACAACGATTACGAGATGCACAGGGCCAGTAAAAATGGCGAGAGGGACACATGAACAGGAATGGAGAATATACACATGTCTTAGCAAGAGGGGACCAAAAACACCAGAGATACTTAGCACAGTTAAAGTAGGATTTGCCTCCTCTTTGCCTCCCTCGTGATTCCAACAGGACTCCTTTGTCTTTGTCAGTCTTGGACTCCAACAGGACTCCTTTGTCTTTGTCAGTCTTTGTCAGTCTGACTGACGCTCCAGGAAAGTGCTGCCTAAAATGGACACCAGTCCTGATTGCTGAGTTGTCAGAGCTGTGGGGCCACGCCCCGTTAATTATGGCGCATTTCCACTACACGGCCTCGCTCGGCCTCGCTCGGTATGGCTAGGCCTCGTTAGGACTGGCTCACTTTATGGCGCATTTCCATTACAGTTTAGGAACTGGGGTAGTATCTATAGTAACGCAGTGTAGGCGGAGCCGTGACGTGATCTTCAATGAGAACCCCAGAAAAACAACACAGCCGTTAGCTGTTAGCACTCAGAGCTCACAGCTCCTCATATCTGTTCAGAAACTAGACAAAAGTTAAACAAGTACAAACCACAGACTGCCTGTGTCATGGCAAATACAGTCGCTGCTTTATTTATGTCTGTATAGGCCGTTGTTGTGAGTGTGGACTGTCGGAGCATATACTGCGTTAGCTTAGCCAATCTCCATTTAGAACACACGCATTTTAAAAGGTTTTTCGCCTGCCGTCTGTCTGCAGACTTGTCAAAGCATTAATTCATGGTTTTTACTAACCGGTATCAGTATGTTGTTACTTCGGCATCATTTTGAAACGTATATTACAATTAAATCACGTCAAATATGTCCATCTTGTTGTAGTTGTAGCCCCCTTGCCAGCGATTCTCTCTCTAGTTTAGCATACTCAGCCCGACTTAGCCTCGTTGTCTCTGGCCCTAGACCCACGATTTTATGAGGCCAGAAAAACTGTGAATTAGGACCCGCCGGCCGGTACTAGGCCAAGTGGAAACGCAACCAAAAACGGGCCGCTGACGTCACAGCCCTCTTAAACCGTGCTCCGCGCTGCAGTGGAAAAGCGCCATTAGTTAACTCTCTGCAGCTGATGGGCAGCAATAGGATCTGGCTCACTTCACACGAGCTGGAGTCTCCATGCCTTTCTTAATGAACTTTTTAGTGACCATTTTTTCAATTACATTAACCCTAGGTAATAAAGTTATGAGGTTAACCCTAACACAGTTACCCATAGTCAATAAAGCCCTTAGTATTCTACAAATGTTTAAATCAAAGTTAACCCTAAGAACCAGTTAGTTCAGTTTTAAGGTTTTTGTAAAAATAAGTTTCCCAAATTTCTGCCTGAAGGTCAGATACTTTAGCTGTTTTGAGATTAAAAGCACCATTTTAAATCAGATGAACTACAGAACATTTATACAGAGCACACTGAATCAGAGAAGTCTAAAAACAAAATGGTACGTATCCCAGGTTCTAGAAGTCAGCAGTTGTATCCTATCTTAAATCGATTTGCACACTATAAGATGTTTTATCTGTTGCTTTTTAACTGTGCTCAACAGTTGGCTAGAACTTTGAAATCAATAGAATCAGTTTAAAATGTTTTATTAACCTCTTGATCTAACTATAATTTAAACACAGATGTGTTCATTTTGAATTTATTTTTAACAAAAGGGTTAATTGTTGCCATTAACAAAGAAGGCAATTATTATTCTGGGAATATACAGTAAAACTTTTGGATTATGCAAAATGTAAACATTTCATTTAACTTTAGATAATAAATGGTACTGCAGTAAATGCAACTCTGTAACTGTAATTACTTTAACTATAGTAACAGGGTTGCAGATCAATGCTAATGTTAGTTTTTACCTCAGGAATTGATCCTAGATGCAGAATATAAGGCTACCTTCAAGGCAAGAACAACATTATTAAACTAAAGAAAGATAACTATGATTTTAATTTGTCTTATTCTGATAATATGAGTAACAGGGTTGAGTGGGTAAGAGTAGCACACTCGTTCTACAGTGAAAGGATCAGACACATATGAAAATGAAAGCGAGAAGATGAATTGACATTATAGGTGGGACAGAAAATGTCCTCCTATTCTGGAATGACCCATTAATGACTTAGCTAGCTCGATTAAAGCAGGATATAACACATTCTGCCTCCTACACAAGAAAACTGAAGCTATACGCAGTAACACTTTTGCTCAACACAATTAGAGGATGGGTTAGCTAACGATGGCTGAAGTTAGCTAATATTAGCATACTTTAGCTGGATGTTGTTGTCTGTTTAGCACTCTCTTGTTATACTTTGGGTTACTCTGGGTTCTGTACACAGGCTAGCTTTAAATAACTACTTAACAAAAAGTGCATCTTTGAAGTAAATAAAAGTCAAAAGTGCTGTTAATTTGAGCCACCTGAATCATTCTGTTCTGTTCCAGGGAAGGTTCCTCCTGTGGTGAGCACACAGACGCCGGGCTTAAACTTCTCAGAGCTGGCAGTAGTTCCAACAGCTTCTAAGTCCCAGAGTCGCACCTCCATGTGGCTGACAATTGGTATTTTATTTGCCATCCTGCTGCTCATGGCTCTAATCCCCATTGTTGTGTGTGTCCTGCGCAGCAACTACACTAAACTCAGGTAATGGGACCTAACACGTTTTATTCTTTTGAGTACTACTTTAAAGTGTGTGGTCATTGCTGAGTTGAGATGTTATTCAAGCAGTTTAAATTGCATTTAGAGATGACTTTGACTCGGTTACAGCTAGAGCTACAATACAGGCTGATGACTTGGCCTGTAAAATGTATCATGAAAAAGAAAGAAAAAAATCCCAAAAAGGTATAACAAATATATTTGTTTATAAATCCCATGTAGCATATTAATAAGAAAGCATTCTGAAAGTTTATTAAAGTAATCTCAGCCAGTATACAACACATTGAATCATCTAAGAGTATGAATAAATGCCTTTGCATTTGGTATCCCATCAGGCATGTATCAAATATCAAAATGATCTCCAAGAAGTATTTTAACTACACACCAGTCAGTAGTTTAATGTGCATTCATCTTGAAAATGTGTAATATGAAAGCTGACCATAGTCAGTTTTTGCAATAACTGTCAGTGTGCACCAGAGGGAGCTCCACTAACTGGACTGCACAGCAGCATGCTGGGAAAACATGGAAGGGCTTAAAAAGTGACTTTGCTGTAAAGGACAAAAGACAACAAAAGTTACACAATGAGAGGGTTTTGTTTAGTAAACATTGTGGCTTGGTGGACCTTAGATTAGAAAATATATCTAAAAAGGTACTGTGGCAAATTACTACCTAATTCAAGTATATTATAATATTGTCTGAAAATCTCAATTTATTCTAGTAATACTCAAATGAATACATCAACATTGTTTTACTACTAATGAGATAAGATTAGTACTTAGGATGCCAGTTTTTCTTAGCAAGGATTTTTCTGAGTTATGATGACTAAACTGTCAAGAAAAATGTATTGACAATTAAGAGAAAGTTATAATTTTGCTGCAGGTCTGACCAGGGTGTGGAGCTTCTGCCATTGAACGCTGGAGTTTCCTACAGACTTCAACAGGAGGAGGAAGCTGTACCTCAGCCGGCCAGCAGTGAGTGTCATGTTCAAATGTTATGTTTATTACATGAAGGGTATCGCACAATACTTAGGACACAAATCTAATCCCAAACAAATAGCATTCCAATAACCATCCACACAAAGGACAAAGCATGAATAAACATATATATAATGTTGTTTGTGCTGCCGACACATGTTATTTATCCCATAAAATGTTCTATTTCTTTTAATGGATAAACTTGATAGCCCGGCACAGCATTAGCATTAGCATTAGCAAAGACTTGAGCAATTTCCAAAATTCCTCTATGTTTGAGTCATTTACACAAACACGGTAAAATAACAAATGTACAGAATTCCTTCACGACATTTAGCCTATTTTAGATGTCAATTATTTCAAGTATATGTATATGGGTGTGTATAAGGTCTTGTAGCCCCCCCAATGTAAACAACCTACTTCGTTTATGAATTAACGCTAATGACTAAAGTCTGAACTTTTACTAACTGTAATTCATTTAATTCATTGTGTCAAATTGTACACATGTAAACTTAGGCAAAGAATTTCCTTTATACTGGTATTTGATAAAAATACAGTCTCTATTGTACTTCCTGTTTTAAGGGATTTCAGATTTCAATGTGCAGTTACTTTGAGTTTACTCCTTTGTCTTCCCTTTAGTTTCTGTGGTGGGGGGGGGTGGTCCAGATGTTGGAGGCGCTCGGCGGCAGCATGCTGGACAGTCTGAAGGAAGTCCTGGTGGAGAGGGAAACACTCACCCTGGGGAAGGAGCTCGGCAAAGGTCAGTTCATGATGACTCGGCAACAATTATCGAGACTTTGAATGCAGGGCCACCATTTGCAAACTGGAAACAGGGTGAATAATACTGTGGATGTGTCGAACACTTCCTACCGTTCAGTGTTAAAGCAGCCTAGTTCACTTTCACACAGGAGAGCAGAGTCCCACATCCAGCAGTGAGTTCTTCCTTTGAAAAACAAAACCTTAACCACCATCTTTTTCCAAAATGTTAGAAAAGGGTTTTAGTTGCTTTTTTTAAGTCATCAGTATGATTGTTTCCTAACCTGCAGCACAGATATTGTAAACTTAGAAAGGCTGCAATGAAAATAAGTTTAGTGTAATAAATAAATCGATCCACTATAATTTGAAGGGTTCAGTAGGCCAAGTAAAATAAGATTAATTCTGATTTGAAGATCATGGTGATATGGTGATGGTATATTCATATATACATATATTAAATACATAAACCATTAATCATCACCACATTTTATTAAACGTTGCTTTTTATTGCTAAGCATATTGTCATTATGTCCACTACTTTAAGTTGTAGTGTAAAACCTTGGTTATGTACTGTGGAAAGTTAATTAAAATGATTTTTGATTGTAAAGAACATGGTGATACATGTTGCAGATAGAGTCTAAAACATAATCTGACACTACAGATGAAAAACTGATTTCAATTCATGGTAGAAGAGAAGTCAGAACATTACCAAAGTCATGAAGATACATAATCTAGCAACCCCAAAAGTCTGAACCAAATGTGTTCCTAATCCATTTAGTAGATTTAGAAGTATTTCAGTGAATGACTGAACACTTTGACCTTCTAATTGCACTAGAAGTGAAGTGATGTTATGGTGATCCATCCAAATGCTGTTGAATCTTCCGTTTTGAAAAAAGAAAATAAGTATTTTACTTGGGAGTAAAACTGTGTGTTAAAATCATGACTTCCTGTGCGTTCTCCAGGAGAGTATGGATCAGTCTATGAAGGGGTCTTCTCACCAGAGGAAGGAGGGGACATGAAGGTGGCTGTGAAGACCATGAGAGGTGGGGACTGAAATGAAAACTCTTTATCAAAACTCAACTGTGTTTCTACTTATTTTGTGTTTGTATTCTCTGTCCTACAAATCCAGTTGGAATCCACAGCCAGGAGGACTTGTATGACTTTCTGAGAGAGGCAGAGATCATGAAGACCTTTGATCACGAGAATGTGGTCAGACTCCTGGGTAAGAAACCACCTAATGTTTTCTATCGGACTGTGATACTGTGTTTCTTCAGAAATGATTAGGACACATCCACTTCCTCTCCCGTCCCACAAACCATTGCAAGCTGGTCATGCTGGTTGTTGGTATTTGCATTGAAAGGCAGGTTCATTTAACTAGCCCTCTGTGTTTCTCACTGTATGGCATTTTCAAAGTAGCCCTCCCAACCCTGGTAAAGGTTCATCTATTGTACCAAGAGACAGTTTTCTTCTCTCCTCTGCAGCAGCAGCGACCTTGTGAAATATGTGTGTGTGATTGTGTGTGTGTGTGTGTGTGTGTGTGTGTGTTTCCTGCAGGGGTGACTCTACAGAGAGAGCAGGACTCTCCTCTGCCGGTGCCCCTGGTCATCCTGCCGTACATGAAACATGGAGACATGCGCCGCTTCCTCATCGCTACACGATATGGAGACATTCCTATGGTGAGGCTGGCAGCTCATGTATGCACATCAAGGAGGAGATTGCAACACCAGCACATGCGAAAATAGACAGTATTTTTGTAGAGTTTGCCATCCTTTGAATTGGTTTTATATACAATAACATTGTAATTAAGTAATTGCCGAAATACAACATGTTAACATTGGTTCTTACCTGTTCATAACACACACCAATAGTTAAACTCTGAGACTAGAAAAAGGGTTCAATGAGACATCACCCTAACAATATTTTTTTTCTTTCAAATGATGTTTTACAGTGACCTGTCACTAAGTCAAAAAGAACATCTTCAGGGAGAATAACAATATTATAACTTAATAAAAATAAGCCTTTGACAAACAAAACACTTTGATTAAACCCATATAAATTAAGCAATACAAGGGAAGACACTCAAATGGACACATAAGCATTATAAAAATAAAATATTTAAAAGCTTAATTAGTCTGCAAGTACAATTTTGAGAGACTTGTACTTTACTTGAGTATTTCAATTTACTCAAGTAAACATAGAAATTGTTTTTCTACCCCACTAAAGTTCAGAGGTAAATGGTGTACTTTTACTCCACTGCATGTATTTAATCCCTTCAGTTACTTTACAGATCTGGATGAATGATGTGAAATATAATCAAGTCTTAAATCAGACTTTAGTTCTACCTGGAGTAAATTCACAAGCTACCCTGCAGTATACAAAGTCATTCAAACTAGCTGCACCTTTACCAGCTTTGAGAACACTTTCATGATCAATCATTATAAAACATATCATATATATTATTCTGAAATGGACCAATCTGCACAATAAATACTTTTACTTTTGGTACTTTAAATATACTTTGATGATAATACTTTTGTACTTTTACTAGATTTTGATGCTGATCCTTGTCTACTTTTACTTGAGTAACATTTTGAATACAGGACTTTTACTTGAGTAATATTTTGAATACAGGACTTTTACTTGTAACAGAGTATTCCAACACTCAGAAATGTTAAAAACAAACAAACCCCCCCCACCCCCTCAGTTTGTGCCCCACCAGAGTCTGCTGCGCTTCATGGTGGACATCGCGGCGGGGATGCAGTATCTGAGCTCTCGGGGCTTCCTGCACAGAGACCTGGCTGCACGCAACTGCATGTGAGTCCATCAGAGGGAGACATTGAGGGGGGGGGGGGGTCAAATGAATGACTCCTTGTTCACATATGACTGTGACTCTGTCCTTTAGCCATTGGTATTCAACCATGGCTTGTTTCTCGGGGGGAAGCTGATCAAAATATCAAGAAAGTAGACTGAGGCTTTAGAGGAGAAAGTGTATTAGTAAAAAACTGTTTATCAGAACTCTATTTGTTGTTATTTTATCCTATACTCCAGAAAGCATTGTTCAGAAGAGGATTAGGGCCATATGAAAACATTTTTTTGGGATGGGCCCAAAAAAGAAAAAAGAAAAAATGGAGTTCTGAAATTCAGAACTTCCGAGTCTTTTTAAAAAAAAATTTCCCCCCATTTTTTTTTACTGGCACTAATCCTCTTCCCTATTATTCCTTATTTATTTTTTGTATCCATAGGCTGGGCGATGACCTGCGGGTGTGTGTGGCTGACTTCGGCCTGTCCAAAAAAATCTACAGCGACAATTATTACCGTCAAAAAGTGGCGATCCGTGTGCCGATCAAGTGGATGGCGATGGAGAGCCTGTCTGAGTCCATGTATACCACCAAGAGTGACGTGGTGAGTTCAGGCTTCACGGGACATCGCTTCATTAGACACATGATTAACAGCTGCGAAAGAAAGATAAAAGATTCGATTAGATATTGATCCCAATTTGTGATTTATTTTCGTCACAGCACCAAGAGAAGACATGGCACAGGAATTACAAGTAAATCAAATGAAAAAAACAAAACAATAAAGATATACATATTAGAAGTAGAATATAAACAAAATAAGCAAAACAGTGAATATATACGTATCAATAATGAGTTGCTGTGAGAAAGTAGAGATTGGACTCTCATTCAATGTGATATTTTCTCAATGTCTTAACCTGTATTTGTCGTCCCTACCCTCTCAGTGGTCCTTCGGGGTGACCATGTGGGAGATTGTGTCCCGGGGAAGGACTCCCTATCCTGGAGTGAGCAACCACGAGCTGCTGGAGCTGCTGCTGTCCGGACACAGGCTCAAACCCCCCCAGGACTGTGACCAAAAACTGTGAGTTCATCGCTGGTTCAGCTTCAGGTTATTTATTGGTACCCGTAGTTAGATTTAGGTTGCAGATAAAAAGACAAGGGATTTACCCTGACACACATTCTGAAAACAACACATACAACAGACACATCTCTAATAAAAGTACACCCTGCTCCGTCACAACTTAAAACATTTAAAAAACACTAGTAAAACTATGGGCATTTGTAGTTGATGAATCAATAAATAGGTATCTGTGTGACACTGCTACCACTTATTCCTCTGTGCTGCTGGAATAAAGGTGTTTTTATACCGCTTTGTACTACACTTTGGGACAACTAACCTCCTAAAGGAAGAAGCTTAAACTCTGAGTGCAGAGTAAACATGATCATCATGGTTTTGTTAATGTTAAAATAGGACAGTTTCCTAAGACAATACAAAAGCAGGTGACACCTTTTGCACACAGCTTCACAATTTGATTCAGAGCTCAATTTGTTGTCAATGATTGTCCTGAGATATTTGTATGATTGCACAAATCCCACTCTCTGATTCGCGATGGATAGACTTCATGTAGGTGGGGGATGTCAATGATCATGTCCTTGGTTTTGCTTTTGTTCAGTTGTAGATAGGACTCCTCACACCACCTGACAAAGTCGTCGATGGCAGGGCCGTGGCTGGTCTCATTATCCTGGAGCCTACTAACAATTATATCATCTGCATACTCTAAATTGTCCTATGAGGCACATTCTCATTATCTAATTTGATATAATAGATACTATAAACAATTACAACAATAATTCAGTTTAGAGAAAAGTATTCTCGTTCTATTGAATACAAGCCAAAATAACACATATAATTCGTTTTTTCCCCCAAATTTGCTGAGACATAATTTGCCCAATCGAATGGGCAACAACTTTTATATCTAATTATGTGTCAATGAGTGTACTTTCTTTTATTTTTAAAAGTTATACTGATAATTTGCAAATATAAATCCTTGGGTTGGGATCCCTAACAGTCAAAACATCTAGGATATTAGCATTCAAGACAAAATTATGGTTTTTTTCCCGACTTTTCTATGATAAAACAAGAAAATATAAATTTGATTCAACTGCTTAACCCATGAACCTGTAACGATTGGTCCCACTTAGACATTTCTTAAGTTAAAGGTCCCCTATTATGCAAAATCCACTTTTTCATGTCTTTTGTACATACATATGTGTAGCCCAGTGTGTTAAGAGATTCTGAAAGTTTCAGAAAAAAAGATTTTCTCTCTTTTATTCCTGATCCATTTATATAAAAATCTGTCCGAAAATGAGCTGATCAGATTTTGGCCACTTTGTGATGTCACAATGTTTTTTTGGGTTGTGCAACCATTAGCCAATAACCTTATCACCTGAATCTCCTCCTAGAGCACCATTGTGTTTTTTCAAACCAATCACTTCTCAGAGGGACGTGGCCAGCAGCAGCTCATTAGCATTTAAAGCTACAGATACAGAATCAGCACTTTTGGAACAGGGCTGAAACAGAGGGGATTATGGGATGATACAATGATCTGTCTGTTATTACAGCCAAACACTTCAGAGACATGTTCTGTATATATCTGAGACCTATAATATATTGTTGAAGAAGAGTATAATAGGGGACCTTTATATAATTGCAATAGAACATATTTGTGTGAATCAACAATATGCATAGTTATATATACCCTGCCTCCTCCTTCCCACCATCACAGTTACGAGGTGATGCAGAGCTGCTGGCACGAGGACCCGAGCCTCAGGCCTGGCTTTGGGGAGCTGTGTGAGACACTGAGAGCTCTCCTGTCAGAGCTGCCGGAGCTGGAGGCCAGCCAAGAGGAGAGCTACATCAACCACGGCCTGGAGGTGGCTGCTGCTGCTGCTGCTGCCTCCTCTCAGGAGACACACACTGAATGTGGGGGGAGATTGGAGAATGTGTACCTGCCTACTCCTCTGGGTGCTGCTGCAGCCAGAGAGGAGGATGAGGAAGTAGTGGATGGCTACCTTAAGTATATTACTGGCTCTGGAGTTAAGGGGGATGATTACGACTAAAAAAGACAATGTTTAAGATACAACATTATAACTGAAACTCTCATTAACTGTTTGTGGAAAAGAGACAGACATGTATTGTATTTGTATAAAATGCTCAGGGGCATTTCCCCCTAGACTGAGAGAGAGAGCGACAGAAAAGAAAATCTATTTTGCACTTTTTATATGTTTTGTATAATTGTATTGTAAATATAAAATGTATTATACTGTAGTTCGTCCTATATTCATTGTGCTAAGTTGTTTAGTTTCTTTTGTATTTGTATATATTTTCTTTTTAAATCGTTCTATTTTTTATCTTTAATTACAACTTATTTGCTTGTGTTGTTTATGTTTTCACACCATAGAAAATTCCTATAAACTCCTAATAAACTCAGTTTATAGTCCGGCAGTGGCTCAGTCAGTAGGGGCTTGGACTGGGAGCCGTAGGGTCGCTGGTTCAAGTCCCCGACCAGACCTAAATATGGAGTGTGGACTTCTACTTGGAGAGGTCCCAGTTCACCTCCTGCCCTGCCGTGGTGCCCTTGAGCAAGGCACCGGACACCCCCCTTCCCCCCCACTCCCATTGCTCCCCGGGCGCTGTACAATAGCTGCCCACTGCTCCTAGTACTAGACTCCTTGTACTAGGATGGGTTAAAAGCAGAGGCCAAATTTCACTGTGTGTGCTGTGTGCTCTGCATGTGTGACCATTAAAGAGGGTTTCATCCCTCCCTATTCATTCATTCAGTTCTGATTCTTATTCTGATCTGGTACAGACAAACCTAATGATTGTATTTCCTTTTATAAAAGTTAACTAATAAAGTTGAATAATTTATATTAAAAGTACACATATTTTTAAAATAATAATAGAATCTGATTCAGCAAAACACAACTATTTTAACAATTGTATGTCTTTACTTGTGTTTTTAAACATCTATATATATTTTTGTATTGGGAGTTGATATATGAGAGTTATAGCAATAATAATTGTGTTTACATCACCCAACCCTAGCAGCTGCCTTCATGTTTACCTCAGCGAGTACAGTTGTTTTTTAAACCTACTTTTCCTGATAAACTACAAATCCCAGCGCCACTGTTGTTCTCGATTCGTCCCTGCTTTCTGAACCGAGTAGTGACACGTCACCTCACGTCACTACCGCACCTGCGCAGCCATCTTGAGCTCCTAGCAAGCAACGGACACAGAAGGCAGAAAATAGGAGTAAATTACGGCAGCCTGACCCGAAGAAACAAGGATATGTCCGCTAGTATCGAGGGTATATGAAACGATAAAGGTCGAATACAGTGGAACGACCTCGGGACGATAACGGAGACGGTAAAACAGCCATCCAAGTGCCTAGGATACCCGGACCTACAAGTCATCTTTTTCGCCGGAGTAGGAAGGAAGATTCGCCGACAGAAAAACACATCCAGAGAGAAACCATGAATCCCGAATAGTGAGTTTACATTTAACACGCTACATGTTAAGGCAGACCCTGTATTGGAAAGAATACTGTTTTAATATGGTGTATAAATAATTAATGCTAATTGTTCTGTCGATACATGTATAGTCAGATATTCGCTAGCTGGCTGTGAACAGGGCGCGGACAGCTCCTTTAATGTGTCGGGCTCCTTAACGTCAGCTGACAGGGCTCGTGCCTCACCGTGTCGGCCGTGTCAAGCGACCTCTTCACGGGACAAATAAACCACCAGTCCGCTGTGAAAAACTAGAGGAAAAACAAGATGGAACGCGGTCATAGCTCAACCTAGAAACTAGAACTAACACGGATAGCTTTAGCTTGACAGTAACGTCGTTTCATGTAGTAATGGAATACAGTTTGTTGAGCAGTGGTCTCGGTAGAGCCTGTTGTTGTTTCCATATGGACGTATCTTTCATACGCACAGGTGCATACTGTACCTATTTAAGACGCCGGGTACTCAAATTATTTAAAAATGGCTTCCCCTTTAATTCAAGGCTTACAAGCAAACTGATATTTAGCAGTGGTGTTAAGTAAATAAGTACATTTAATCAAGTACTGTACTTGTGTTTGAGGTACTTGAACTTTACTTGAGTATTTAAATGTGTTGGTACTTTGTACTCTACTTCAATTCAGAGGTATATTTTGTACTGTTACTCCACTACGTTTATGTAGTACCTTTAGTTACTTTGCAGGTATAGATAATCATATCATATAAATGATAAACAATATGATAAATAAGACTTAAATAAGACTTTATTTGCACCTGGATTGAAGTCAATAAGGTAATTGAAATGAGTTCCACCTTTACCAGCTTTCAAAACACATCAATAATATATTAGAAACATATACTATATGATTGTGAAATGGTCCAATCTGCATAATGACTGCTTTTACTTTTGGTTCATTAAGTATAATTTGATGCTAATACTTCTGTACTTTTACTTGAGTAACATTTTGAATGCAGGACTTTACTTTACTAGTATTCCTACACTCTGGTACTTCTACTTTGACTCAAGTAGAAGATCTGAGTACTTCTCCCACCTCTGATATTTAGCAAATATTAATAATCATAACTATTTGGTTGGTGCCAACCTAAAACAGGTTACCAGGTCATAATGTTGAATACTTGCAATGTGTTAATTTTGCAGTTAAAAGGCCCAAACTGGCTTCTATTACTTGCATGCTGGTGCTAACGCCAGGTGATACGGCAGGGAGCAGATGTTTGACGGCTGACCTGCAGCCATGAAACGAGAGGACACCCGGTGTCACCGAATCTGTCTGCCGGTGCGGAAACTATCGACTGTCCGGGAGTCCACAGGAGAAGCTTTTCAATCCCTATTGAACCCTGTCTAACTAGCTTTGCTAATACCTCCACACCCTTAGCAGACATTCTGGATTTCCCTGTGTGTTTAAACGAACTGTGCAACATTGCCTCTAGTTGGATATTACTCAATATTGGCTACCATTATACTGTCATTGAATTGATTGGGCTGGTTATCTTTCTAATATAAACGACCCTATGTAAAACGTGTATCTACTAAGTTTATTAATGATTAACAGATACTTTTGTAATGATTTATATCACAGGTATAACCATATAATAATACCATATTGAAGGTTGTCAGGTTGTTAACAAAAATAAAGCATGACACTAAAGTGATTTAGGAAAGCCCTCCCCAATAGATCGCTTGCCTTATCTTGACAACAATGAAATGATTACCAAGTTAACAGTGTTTATTATTAATGGCGGACCAGATCTGATGGGTCGTTATAAAATAAAATGTTTATTAATGATTCATTAATGGTTATAACTGCTGACCCTTTTGCAAAAACATCTTATATTACTCATTATAAACGTTTCTACTTCTATGTATTAGGTTTTAGTTAAATAAAACACAACTTAAAACGAATACAAATATGATATATATGATCAACGAGTGTATCAGCGATGTAGTACTTAACAAGGAGTGAGGTTACCAACCTACCCAATGATAAATCTTTGAAACAATGTGTTTTACATAAGAATCTGCTTATTTACTATCAGGTGCCGACTAAAATGTGTCCGTTGAAATTAGTTTTATCAAAACCAAAGCTTCATTTTTGTTCTGGCACTAGTATTAATACGGTTTCAAAAGATACACTGCCCTTCTTATGGCAGTAAAGCTATGAATGTTGCCACAATAACTATTGTTAGCTGGCAGCTTCCCTCAGTTTAAGTGTATATAAGGCTATGTACTTAAGATGGTCTTTGGATTTGTTGTTTGCCCTCAACATCAGTCCACATCAACAGAACCCCCAGCCATACAGACATGTGAAATGGGCTGATTGCGACAGTGCTGTTGCATCCAGTGTTTGTGAGATATTGCCAGTTGATCAAGTGTCAAGTGGCTGTGATGCACGACAGGTCTCAGTTTCCTATGACACAAGAATAGCAGGGGCATTGGGCAATTCTCTCCAGCTGTCTTTGCTGTGTGTCAAATTCATGTGATGTTGTTTTCCTCTCAGGGATTGGGAGGATGGAGGGTGGGAGCTGTTGTTCCATCCTTTTAAGAGAACCTGCCAGTACCAGCATAACAGTTAAAATCCTTCAAATGACATTAAAATAAGTATTGTTAAAGCATCAGTGTTGGATGTGGAATGGGCACCACAACCGTAAAGTTTTAAGTAATACCGAGCTCTAATTCTAGGGCCGGATCAACCTGCTGTAGTGCCCGGCACAAGTGTGTGATGGCCTATAGTAAACATTTCATTCATCCCACTGTGTGTGCATTCTGTATGTTTGTGCTGGAGTACGGCCAAGCCCTAGAATAGTTTTACCTTTGACTTTATTATTGAACAGCAAACAGTAGTTGGACAACAAAGACAACAGCAACAGAGTTGCAGTTGCAAACTTCATTACAAGCTATTTAATTAACCTCAAGTAAAGCAATTATTTTGGTCAAAACAAAAAATATTTGGAATAAGGAACATAAAAAGTAGCATTGTCCCAACATCCTAAGGGTTAATATATTGGCTGATCCATCAGCTAAATAAAGCAGAATATATTTAAATCCTTTCTTAACTGTACTCTTATGATTTAAATGATAAAAATCAACATTTAAACAAAGCCATACCTTCCCTCTCTTCAAATGATCCGTTGATCGTCAATCATATTCTCTCAATAAAACCGTTGTTAATTTCACCGCGTATCAACCATCGCATGTAAGATTCTAAATGTATTTGTTTTGAACCATGATTAGGTTTTTAAAGTAAGTAGCTTGTAAACAAATAAGCTGCTGCTTGTATTGGATCAGACTCCTCTGGCAAACACTAAATATTATAGGACTTGGATGAGAGTCAGGCAAAAAAAAACACTTTCTAGACCCTCTCTGTAATAAAAGCACAAACAATTTGGTCATGTTGCATCTGCTGGATTGGTATTGTATAACCTTAAAAAATCATTCCAGTGAATTCCACACTGTAATTATGCAGATAGAAAAATGGGCAAAATAAAGAGGATGTGATATCTGATTGGTAATTCATATTGGCAGACACCCTTATTTGTCACAAGCACCTTTTTCACGACAGAGCTTCAAGATGTAATAATGATGCGGGACTTTCAATAGGGCCTTCATCATGTCTGAGGGATTGTTTTGATACATAATATCCAACATAGGAAATCATTTGAATTGGCACAAACAAATTAGCACAAGCTATGCTAAGGTCAAACTATTTATCAACAAATCATGCAAATTCAAGGCTCAAATCAAAAAGAATGTATCAACTAACAAGTATTGTGTGTGTGTACCCAAAACCGCTTATATATTTGTCCTTTGTGCCATTTATTTTTGTCTAAATACTAATAAAAAAACATCATGAGCCACATTGTTGAACTGGGTTACATGACCCTATAAAATATTACCATAAACACACATTGTAGTTTGTTTTACTCAATCACAGACTGAACTGTATCCCAAAATAATCCCCAAGATTTATCCGCCGCTGAAAATAGCCCCCCACAAACGCAGTACCTTTTCTTACTGTTTCAGTTATTTTTGCTTAAAACGACAGTAACCAACTCTTTTAGCAAACTACTGAGCCGTCAACAAAAAGGAAACATCTTTGGGAGCGCTCTTAAAGCATCTCTTCAGTCTTTCCAATGGTCCTGGAGCTGAGAGACACCCAGGTGATAGTAGAGCAATTCAGGAATGATTGTAGGACAGACAACATGTTGTTGGTTTGAACATCTGCTTTGTGGACACTAGTAGTGGAAACGCGCCATTATGGCGCGTTTCCACTACACGGCCTCGCTCGGCCCTGCTCGGTATGGCTGGGCCTCGTTAGGACTGGCTCACTTTATGGCGCATTTCCATTACAGTTTAGGAACTGGGGCAGTATCTATAGTAACGCAGTGTAGGCGGAGCCGTGACGTGATCTTCAGAAAACCCCAGAAAAACAACACAGCCGTTAGCTGTTAGCACTCAGAGCTCACAGCTCCTCATATATGTTCAGAAACTAGACAAAAGTTAAACAAGTACAAACCACAGACTGCCTGTGTCATGGCGAATACAGTCGCTGCTTTATTTATGTCTGTATAGGCCGTTGTTGTGAGTGTGGACGGTCGGAGCATATACTGCGTTAGCTTAGCCAATCTCCATTTAGAAAACAAGCATTTTAAAAGGTTTTTCGCCTGCCGTCTGTCTGCAGACTTGACAAAGCATTAATTCATGGTTTTTACTAACCGGTTTCAGTATGTTGTTACTTCGGCATCATTTTGAAACGTATATTACAATTAAATCACGGTCAAATATGTCCATCTTGTTGTAGTTGTAGCCCCCTTGCCAGAGATGCTCTCTCTAGTTTAGCATACTCAGCCCGACTCAGCCTCGTTGTCTCTGGCCCTAGACCCGCGATTTTATAAGGCCAGAAAAACTGTGAATTAGGACCCGCCGGCCGGTACTAGGCCAAGTGGAAACGCAACCAAAGACGGGCCGCTGACGTCACAGCCCTCTTAAACCGTGCTCCGCGCTGTAGTGGAAACGCGCCATAAGAAAACAAAGGTTTATACTCAGGAAAGCTAGGTATAAAATATTGTTCATCTATCTTCCTTGGTGATGATGATATTGAAAAACCAGCCTGATGGGTGAGAAAGCTGTGTGTCAGTCACACTACACACTAGCATTGAGACGTGATGCATGCACTGAGCTTAAAGATGTGGCCCCTGTTCTGACCTGGAATGTTTTCTTTCAGTGACTATCTGTTCAAGCTCCTCCTCATTGGAGACTCTGGAGTAGGAAAGTCCTGTCTCCTGCTGCGTTTTGCGGTAAGTTTTCACCCTCTAAAACATGTTCTTCCCATTACTTTTGGTCTCTTAAAATCGTTGTCCTCCTTACACAACCTTTGGTCTAATTCTCACTCACTTTATCTCTGCAGGATGACACCTACACGGAGAGCTACATCAGCACCATCGGTGTGGACTTCAAGATCCGCACCATCGAGTTGGATGGCAAGACCATCAAACTGCAGATTGTGAGCGCACACACACACACACACACACACACACACACACACACACACACACACACACACACACACACACACACACACACACACACACACACACACACACACACACACACACACACACACACACACACACACACACACACACACACACACACACACACAGAGAACACCATCTGTAACCCTCACCTGAGCTAGGGCTTAGAGCCAACCATTGTTATCCAAACACACAAGAGGCCTTCTGTGTGTGCGTGTACATTTTACACTTGGTCCAAGCTGTAAGAGGATCCTGTTTTATTTAAAGGAACAGGCGACACCACCTGAAAACATCCAGTTTGTTAAGCATACACACAGCAGCTCTGCTAATGCTGTAGATATACACAAACAACTACAAGCCCACTTCACAGTGCTCTTTATTGACTTGCTTTTGTAGATTGAAACACACCTAATAATGAATGAACTGTTCGTGTTCCCGTCCTTTAGCTGATTCTCACAGTACAAATGAACCAGTAACCTGAAGCTTCACATTACTTGAACTTTTATGAACCTTGGTACGAGATTCTTCTTTGTGTTTACAAAGTTATACATTCCCAGTGTAGATCAAAAACAACAGTAGGAGTAACATACATGATGTCATATAAGCAGTTTGGTAAGCAAATGAATTCATTCGACAATTCAAGATAATATTGTTCACTTTGTGTTTTGTTGTGTACTGCAGTGAAACCCTCTAATTATGTTGCTGTAACTTTGACTCCTTGTGTTTATATAAACACTTTTATTCCATTTTCTGTCTTTTTTTATGAAGATTATATTTCAACGTATGTTTAGATTGATATCTTAATTGTCTTTATTTTATGTTTTTATTGCACATTCTTACTTTAACAGGTTTTTATTCAATTTCTATCTCATTCCAAAATGGAGCCACGGCCACGAAACCCAATTTCCCCCGGGATAAATCAAGTATTCTGATTGGTGATGATTCTGATTACAATGGTTGAGGACACAACAGGGTTACTAAATGCAATAACAGAACAGTAACAACGTGCTTCAGAGAACAGCACATAAAACTAAGTTTAGATAACCAGGTCTGGTTCGTTCTGTCAGGTGACGTGAGTTCAAAGCAGAGATAGAGGAATGCTCACATCACATCATCGACTTTAGGGAAAACTACAAAAGATTCCACTGTGTTCTTCACAGACCCAGGAACAGAGCTGGCGTACACCTGGGCAGCCTCTCAGCCAACTGCCAACTACTTCAAAGCATTGTTTTTTCCTTTTTCCAGAAATACTGTTACTTGTCAAATAAACTCATAAAGTGCTACAGCCACCAAAAACAAAAAGAGGCTGCTAAAATGAAGTGTGGTGGGGGGGGGTGTGAGCTGTACTCTATTAGCCTGTCAGTTAATATGGTAAACTCTGAATAATGAGCATTTACACATCACTAATTGCATCATTACAACATCACAGTCCTGTCACACCACTCTGCTGCTCTGTGTTATTTGTGTCTTCATCCACTAAGTATTTCCAAGCGCTGCTATTTTGACTGCTATCCAGGAATAAGCTCAATAGAATTGATGTTGCTACACTCCATTTGTTTATGGTACATCCTACTCCTCAATTCTCCATTTCTTATGCCTTAATACTGCTCCGTAAAGTCAAACAACACATGAGATCTTTGATTGCCTCAAGGTGGTTATAAGTTAAGGTATTAATCCATTTGTTCACATTCTTTATGGATTTGTGTTTATTAATGTTCTTTCTCTGCCTGTGTCTGCAGTGGGACACTGCAGGTCAGGAGAGGTTTCGTACCATCACCTCCAGTTACTACCGCGGAGCTCACGGCATCATTGTTGTATATGATGTGACGGATCAGGTGGGTAATCACTCCTATACTTTAGGATGTTATAGTTTGTCTTGTTACTTTGATAAATATACATTCTGTGTACCAAATATTGTTCATTACCCAACCCTGTTCCAGTTCAAACTTGTGAGTAATGGGCACATCTTTTAAAGCACAACATAGTTCATCTGATCCATCTGATGTGAATTACATGGACAGTTGTGTCTTGTCCTAGCATGACATATATAGCTATTTATTTGTATTCTATGATTGTATGAATACATAATTGTGACGCATATAAAAAGATCACACTATAATTCATTGCTAAACACAGCCTAAAAAACAGTTGCATCACTATCATGACCCAATCTCAACAAGTAGAGAACCCCTATTACTAGAACTACAAAATAGGTTTTTACTGCAGGGCTCTGGTGTGTGATTTCATTAGATTGTTCAGGTGTTAATGATGTACTACAATGACCTTTAGCTGTATGCATGTCCTCCCAGTGGTGTTGGAAGCATGTAGAGTGCTGCAGTTGGCTCTAAAGCTCACATCCTTGTCTCTGTGCAGGAGTCCTATAACAACGTCAAGCAGTGGCTGCAGGAAATCGACCGCTACGCCAGTGAAAATGTCAACAAGCTTCTGGTGGGCAACAAGTGTGACCTGACCACTAAGAAAGTAGTGGACTACACAACAGCCAAGGTGAGGCTGTGCATTCAGTCACAACATGATTATTATTCTCATCTGTGAGGGAGGGATGCACATTACATACTATTCTTTTGACTAATTAATGATAACGCCTGTACTATAATGGTTCAGCACCATTTCCACATAATACACCATGACAACAGTCATGGCATACCTATCACTGCTGAAAACACCTTCCCTTTCTAACGGATACATAGCTTTTATTAAACAATCAATTGTACTCTGGCATTTTTTTGATAGCTGTTAGAAACTCACACTTACTGCAGATTTTTCAAATCAATAGCCTTTAAGGAAACGTAAGGATTATTTCTTTGAATGTGAACACGCCTTTGCAGCCATCCAAGAAACATAAGATGCTCCGGATGTCACATTATGCTACCTAACACCAATCTACCATGACAACTGGTGTGTGTGAGAGAAACTCCCTCTGGAGGGAACACAGGGATGTTAGCCTTTGCAGACCATTTACATGCACTGAAACCTATAGAACACACTACAGGAGAGGGGAAACACCAAGGAGCATCATTGGGCATCTTTATGATTATTCATTATTGATTGATCTGTTTTTCTTTGACAAAAAAATGGCAAAACTTGAATACAGCATCCGTTACTCCATGTCTGTGTGTGATGAGTTCACTGTCCCACTATAAGTGTCCTCCATCTTCTCCATCAGGAGTTTGCCGACTCCCTGGCCATCCCATTCCTGGAGACCAGCGCCAAGAACGCCACCAACGTAGAGCAGGCCTTCATGACCATGGCGGCAGAGATCAAGAAGCGCATGGGCCCCGGGGCCACAGCCGGCGGAGACAAGCCCAACCTCAAGATCGATAGCACTCCTGTCAGGCAGTCCGGAGGGGGCTGCTGTTAAAGACCCCTCGCTCCACACCCGCCCACCCTGACCATCACCTCCACCATTCCCACTGAAATCTCCCTCTCTTCTCCGTCTGTGTTCCCTCACCCCACCACTCCTCCATCACACCCCCCTCTATCCGCCCTTCTGGAGATCCGGGGGCGGTTGATCAGAGGAGTAAACTGTAAGATTGTTAAGATTAGAAAACAGATTGAAACATTTGGGCCCCTACACCCGTCAAACAACGGAGAGAGGAAAGGGAGGGACGCTGAGGCCACTTTTACTTTCTGCCAAGAGGACAGAGAGGAAACAGAAACGGGGGAAGATTGCTATTGATTTAGGATGAAAGTGAGGCAGTGGAAGATTAGGTTTAGATACAAGTGAGCTTATTGCTACACACACACACACACACACACACACACACACACACACACACACACACATACTGTAGTGGGGGGGCAGAGGTTAAAAAGATTTGAGCCTTTTGGCAAAACTCTTTCCTCCTCAGGCTGTGTCTGTCTTTGCTGATCTCATCTCTCGCCTCAGCCCTACTTTCATCCCTGGAATTATTTACCTACACACACACACACACACACACACACACACACTGTAGATGCTCTTTTCCTGAACAGTGACTCATTGTTTTAAATGTATTGATGGAGATCCAGGGGAAAGCCTCTCCCTCCTTCGGTCCTCTCCCTGAAGCCACTCTGTTTCTTAAGGTGTGTTCAGACAGGAAGCAATGAGACTCTTGTGGTTTATCATTCACGTGCTCTCCACAACTTGCTGTTCTAATGCTTGACTCGCCCTTTTTATGCGCTGTCAGTTGAAAGGAAACATTTGCCTCTGCCAACTACGAGCTAAGACAGTACTTGGCAAACAGCCAATCATATTGCAGCGGGTCAACAGGCCCAACCACCTACACTTGGCATCAGATGTGTGCTATCCCCTTTGATTGCCAAAGGCTTTGGACAAGCATTATGTAGTTTCCCCACAAACTATTATATCCAACTGCTGTTCTTAAACTGTGGATTGTTGTTTTCAATTCTGCATCAACCAAGGAGTTATATTATTATTCATTTCTCTTTAACTCCACTACAACCACACTACCAGCTGGTAGGGCAGCAGGGGACAAACGTCTGATCCCAGACCCCCCGGGTGAACCTGCATCTGTTTATGCCTTTCCATAGCGTTTGTATGCAATCTCGCTAGCATTAAGAATGGACCTCGGTTTCTGTCTGAACACACCTTTGAGGGAACTGGAAACAGGTGACTGCAGTAGTCATGTGAAGAATGAAAACTCCTCACATGCAGCTCATGCTGAATAAGGCCGTGGTCACACTTTTGCTAAATTAATATTCAACTCACCGTGACTTCCATTCGACACGAGTGATGACGAATCTTTGCTTGGCATAGAGTTGAACTTTGGTCAAATCCATCAGGGGTCTTCATTAGCTCATGTGTGACCTTGCCCTAAACTGATCATCATTGTCGGGTTGAAGTTCCAAACATTGTTGGATGCAGTCCCACATGTGCACCACGGAAAAGAGGTCTTTGGAACCCGACAATGATTTAATTTGAAGCATTCTGAAGTGGCAGAGCAAAATAAAATGCACCTTCTAGCGCAGCAAGCTAGGTAGCATAGTGGCTACTTGTGGGGCTAATTTGCAAGCCAACCAGTTGCATTTAGCAAGCCAGCTAGCTTGGTCGCTAACAGCCAGTTAACACAGTTTACTCAAGAGGCCACTCTGTACCATAGTGTGTATGGTACCACACGGCTAATACCATAGCCTGCTTCTTTTTGGATCTATGTTCTCTTAAAAGCCAGAACGTGATTGGTCAGGGGCACAAATGTCCTCTGAAATGAATTATTTTGCTACTTTGGCTCGGCTACATACAGGAGAAAGATCTAGATGCAAAGACGGATCGTACTTGGTTCTGAAGGAAGCATTAACTGCTCAACACTTGGGGGAGAAGAGGAGTACTGGCAGGTCACTTAATTCCACATATAGACGTCAGAGCTGGGGTGGAGGCGGCTGTGAGAACAGCAGTATATAGGCTTCATTTGACTTTTTTAGTTTTCATCTCATACATTAAAAGCAAGCGACGTGACAACATGCTGTAACATTTGGCACGGGGGCTTCCTGGATACACTAAATATTACAGAGCAGATGCATAGAGGGGGCGAAGATTTAACTTAAATGAAAGCGATTGGCAACATTCTGCATTGATCTTACAATTTATTGTTGTTGTGGTTTTATTGTTTGTTTTTTATTTACTCATCGATACTTCTGAAGGAGACGTGTACAATTTGCTTAAATTCTCATGCTCAGCGGGTGACGGATAGCTTTTAGGGTGGCATTTCATTTCTTGCTTGTTTGCAGATGGAGCTGAGGTGGAGATGTGCTGTGGGTGTGTCTGTTTGCTGGGGGGGGGGGGGGGGGGGCTGCTGTTCCTTCCCTGAGAACGATCTGTTGTAATCGTGTCACATTCGGACAAACGGTTAGCGATTTCTTATTTGTCCCTGTGCATTTTGTGTTTCTGATCAGATGCTTTAGTTTGCCAGTTGTGATTATTTTTTCACATTTGAGTCTCTTACAATCATTACTCGGTATACTTTTAATAAACAAGGCTATATGTTCAAGATCAGGATAAAGGAGGCACTTTATTTGAAGTATACTGAAGCTTTCATGTTCAACAAAGCAAAAGACCTTTCTACATTTTTAAAGAAATGTTAATAATCATGGACACGGACACAGGAAGAATTCCCATATCAATTAAAAATCCTAAAGTCATCTTAAAGAAGCAGTGTTTCAGAGTAAACGTGTACTTCAGCGTGACATTTCATTCTATATGTCATATTTACATGAGAGGAACATATTCAATCCGTCTTGCAAGACATATATGTGAACAGATTTGATGTTCTGTTAGGATCTTGCTAGCCGTTTGTCATTAAATGCCCCCTGTTGGCATAGTAACGTTGAAATGGCAAAGGTATGAGAGTGTTTACATGCCTGGAGCGCTTCTCGTAACTGTGTTAGGTCTATTTCCAGGGAAACTATGAGGAATGTGAGGAAAAGAGCTTCTGTAGAGGGGCCTCCACACTGACGTAGAACTCTGAGACCTCAGCAATCTGAGCCCTAACCCTTCACCCCCCCTCACAAAGAACTGGAAACTAGCATTAGGGCCTTCTAAGAACTCACTTTGTTTTTACTTTACTCGGTTATCTGTGGTTCCTACACAGCAGGGAGATCCATGCTGAACTAAAGGAATTTAGTCTCGTTGTGTTCGGGGGCGTCTGGAGATTCCGGGACTGACTGGTCTTGGTTTGCAGACCGGATATGAACTCCCAATTCAAGGCAACCCTTTACTGCAACTTGATACACTTGATAAATCTGAATTCAGGCACAACAGAGACACAACACCTGAATCTAGCGGAGTCCACATTACGTGTGTGTGTGTGTGTGTGTGTGTGTGTGTGTGTGTGTGTGTGTGTGTGTGTGTGTGTGTGTGTGTGTGTGTGTGTGTGTGTGTGTGTGTTGGTGTGTGTGTGTGTGTGTGTGTGTGTGTGTGTGTGTGTGTGTTGTGTGTGTGTGTGTGTGTGTGTGTGTGTGTGTGTGTGGTGTGTGTGTGTGTGTGTGTGTGTGTGTGTGTGTGTGTGTGTGTGTGTGTGTGTGTGTGTGTGTGTGTGTGTGTGTGTGTGTGTGTGTGTGTGTGTGTGTGTGTGTGTGTGTGTGTGTGTGTGTGTACTTTAATCTCACATTAAGAGGAAGGGAAGGAAACAGCAGTCTCTGGGTGTGTGTGTAGATCTGGGTCAGGGTTGCGTGTAACATTCCTGAAGCTTTATGGACACATGTTGGCATCCTGGTATCACACTTGAGTAGATGCAGAACAAGCAATCGTTTGAAACCTAACACTTGAGACACACACACACACACACCCTGGATGTTGTCCTTTTTTAAATCTTACTTTCAACAAGTCTTGTTATTCTACTGATTTTAATGTATTCATTGAATACTGTGTTGTCTAGTCGATGGAAGAATGAGAAGGGGAATCTGAATTGGGGGGGGGGGGGGGTTAACACTTGCGGGGGGGGCTTTCGCTTATGAATGTGATTCTGATGCAAATACACTTTTCTTTCTTAGGTTTTTGTATTGATTTAGGGTGAAAGGGGGTATTTGTGTCCATGTCCTTTGCACACGTGTCCATGTCCTTTGCACACGTGTCCATGTCCTTTGCACACGTGTCCATGGCTGTTCAATGGCTTATTAAAGGCACTCACTAGGTGTTGTTGTTAATAAAAAGCACCGGGCAGGAGCTGCCTGTCACTCACCTTCTGTCTGTTTTCTGTTCGGCTTGTTCACTTTGGTGCTGTCTCCCTGCTGAGTTTGATCATGTTTTTTTTCTGTACATATTATAAATATATATATAATAAAATGATGAAAAAGATCAACGTCAAAAAGAGAGCTGGTCTGGTATTGTTACTAAACAGCATCCACATAACGGCTTCCTGAACACTGACGGACTGAACAGACATTATTATTGGGTGGGTGGAGGGGGGGGGGGGGGGGGGGGGGGGGGAGTACAGTTGATACAGTACTGTATGTGTCACTGTTGATAACTCTAATTCAGGCTGATGTAACCCAATGTAATCCTTATGACTAATCAGGATGTTTTAGTTTGTCCCCTTCTTTTCTTTGCGGATCCCCGTTAAACTGTTTTTGTGCAGCCTTTAACAAAATAGTTCAATGTAATTGTATGATTATGATAATGCCTTATTGTCTGTTTGCCGCTCATAGAGTCCTTTAGTGAACCCGGAAATGTTGAGTACCCCAAAGTGCTATGTTAGAAATGTATAGTAGGGTCCCCATCAAATAGAAACTGACGGATGCTAACCTGCATATGTTGGGCAATTTGCACAATTACCATAAGGTGCATTAAGGTACATCCCTATGCTGGTTACGAGACCATATTTTTTGGAATAGTGGATTAAACAGTGGCATCACACTGTGGGGGGTGGGGGGTGGGCTATCACTGGCAGCTGTTGTCACATGGTGGTGGACTTTTGGAGCACGTTTTAACTCCTGAACAACCCTGAGGACTGGGTGGCTGACTGGACTGACTGATCTGCATCAGAGGGATGCTGAGGAGAGGACCCCACCTCACCCCCCCTTACCCCACCCCTCGTCAGCTGTTTTCGGCACATTGGTGGCACAGCGGTAAGTCAACGACACTTGCCTCCCGACAGCAGAGGTTGCATCACCCAGGAGAGATACATGTTTACGTCCAATGCAACACTTGGAGAAAGGCTCTAGTATGTATTACAAGTAACCTTTAAGCAGTGGTGTAAGAAGTACTACTGTGTTCAAATGTGCAATTTAGCAACTGTCAAAGTTCTCTCTCTCATGCAGCTTATTTAGTAAGAGTTCCTCAGGAATAACAAACGTCATTTTCTACAGTCTAATATGATAAACATGTGAAACTGTTTAAATACATTCTAGTTTGAGTATTGTGTTTATTTGGGTCCTATAAAGCAGAAATATTTCAAATTCCAATTACATTGAGTAAGACAAGTAACAGATTAAAAAGAAAAAGGATACAAATAGAGCCAACTCAGACATATCGTGACTTTTAGTCCCAGATGAGCTCCAAAAAACACTGGATTCTACATTTCCCAAAATGAAAGTAAATAACGTATTTGTATCAGACACTCCCTCACAGTGCCTGGTGAACACTCAAGTCTAAATCACAAGCCTATATCCTCACTGATGACATCACTATGACAACATCAAGATTATATTCTCCGTCTTGACTGAGATTTAAACTAAAGGAAAATGAATTGTAATCCTTCATGCTGAATATTTGCTTGCAGATGATTTCCAGTCAGTCACAGCCTGTATTCTCCTGACAGGCTGAACTGCAGCTGACTCGCCTCTCTCTTGTTTGGGTGAGTGACATTTTTGAGGTACTAGTACTTCACATCAGTATTCTCAGTTAATGCTACTTTATACTTCAGAATCCAATATTGCATTTTTTACTCGACTACATTTATTTGACAACATTTGTTATCAGTTACTTTTTCATATTCAGATTATTAGCTAAAGCCAAATATGAATACACTAAAACATAAACTACATTTATTTGACAGTTTTTTTAGATATAGATTATTAGCTAATACAGAATATAAATGAATTATTAAATACACTTTGATATATTTATATAGGTTAAGACATCCGGTAGCAGTATATGAAGTATTTAAATGAGCTCTGATAAAAACACATCAATAATCATAAATATAATCCAGCAACTCATGATTCTGAAATGGGCCATTACGAGTACTTTTACTGCTAATGCTTAAGTATAACTTGTTGCCGATACTTTTGTACTTTTACTTGAATTAGATTTTGAATGCAGGACTTTTACTTGTAACAAAGTACTGTTACAATTTAGAATTCCTACTTTTACTTTAATAATCTTCTTTAAAAAAATCTTCTTTAATTCCTGAAAATGGGATCGGTAAATCCTATGTTTTGTTTTCCCTGACATCTCCAAGAGGTAGCACGGAAACAAGCCGACAGCAGGGGACGCCTCACTTTAATGTAGCAACTTGAATATTATCCCCCTACATTTCAATATTTTTTGTGAGTGAGTGAAATGTTTGACCTGATGGGGGGGCTAGAGGAAAGACCAGGAGGGTCACCAACACATTTAGGATCAAGGTCCCTTTATTAAATACACTCTTCAGAGTTCAGTCTGGCACTAGATATGCTGAGAGCTGAATTCATGTATTCGACACATTCAACAGTAATCTTCTTTATAGTCATAAGGGAGGTTTTACACGGGGTTCAGAGAGCTCTATACAAATGTAATCAATTCAAAGTTACAGTTTAAAAAAAATGCAATCAGTTACGTCATCTAAGTATAACAGTATAAAAGTAATGTACCCTGATTACTATATGCTACTTTTGGATTACCTTAAAATCAAATGCAATGCAAATATATACGAGGAAAAAGAAGAAGAAACTTAAGTGTATTATGTAAAGCAACAAAACAATATGATCTTAGAAAAGAACAGGATATTTTGTATCCAAAATGTGTCATCTTAAATCAGATAGTTTACAAATATATTGGTTTAAAACATTTATTAAAACCAAACACATATTTTTGGTTTAATAAATCAGGTATCCACCTACTGCATTTAAATATAAATAAATAAATATATATATATATATTAAATTAAGAAAAGCATACCGATAATTTATTCATATTTATTTTAAAATGTATTTTAACGTTTTAATCCTGCTAGTAATCCCCATTTTGGAAAATGTAACAGTAATCTGTCATTTTTTAAATGTAACTGTAAGGGAATACATCTACCTTTTCTTTGTATCCTGATTATGTAATCCATTATCAATTACAAGTAATCTGTTACTCCCTAAACCTGGTTTTACACATAAAGTACACACACAGTAAAGTCTCCTGAAGGCACCACAGGAAACACACTGAAAAACTGAAACGTTGACTTTGATGAAATGTATTATGTCAACAAATGACATAACTGTATTAGGTTAGTTGAAAGCAACACTATTAAGTTTAAATACAAAATATTAGGTTTCATTTAAGATTATTGCTTTCAACTAACCTGACCT